CTTGTTGAAAATTCATACTAGGGACTATCTGTGCGTTTCGTTTGGCTCTCCACAGACGACGTTCATGTGGAATTTGTGGGTGAGCTCTGCACTGAAGCAACTGCTGGCACAAAATTGGTCTGGGCAGCTTCGTGTAGCGTTGCTGTTTGCACAACTGATCCGGTCGGATTGCGGAACTAATCATAGGGGCACAGATAGGTGTTTGAAATAGGTCGTCGGACTTCTGTCCAGTACCGGACTTATTAAAGTGCTGCAATGCCCAGGAGGGGCATCCAGTGGAGGCTGACCCTCCGGCTTGCCACATTAGGGCTATCTTTTGAGGCGTTGATTAGGGTTGCAGGATCTGATGGGTTGCCTAAGGTGGCCTAGTTTGGTTGTAGATTCGGTCTTGCAACTTGCCATCGCGACCTTGTCTCGCTGCCCGGTTTGCTCGCGGACCTAAATCCTTATGTCCGGGACGGGGGTTTGTTCGCGCAAAACACTGTTGTCGGAGTCGACACCAGATGTCACTCGGCTCGGCGCGATTCCGGTTTAAAGTTCGGCTGGGCGTGGCACGAGCGCGCGAGTCGCGACCGAAAAGTGAGTCGTCCATAATCGGTGCTGACGTGAGCACGCGGTCCATTCTGTTAAGGAACTCGGAATAATTCGGCGCGGCCAGTAAATATACGGTCTATCATTGTGACGCGCATTCCTACTGGAGAGCTTCCCGGGACTTATTGTGTCTGACTCAAAATCTGAATAAGTGCATTCGGCAATATTAGATAGTGCTGCCTCTGATATTCTAGAATTAACTATTGCTACGCGAAACGGTAGTGACCTTTGACCCTTTAAACTCCGTGTGCGTTTGTGCGGGAACCATTATACCCAGCGATAGTTAGTGGCTTCTGTAAGTTAGTAAATCGTACGATAGAGTTAATTGACTGGCAACGTGACGAAAGAAGAAAGTGACTGTGGACTACCTCGAAAGGCGCCCTCAAGTTGGAGCGGTGTCGACGCTCGGGCTGCTGCCGACGGCCAAGGTCTAGGTTCAATCACCATCAGTCACACCCAGATACACACCACATCACCATTCCTTCCCTTGCACTACACAACCACATGCGACCTGACCGACTCCGGAGGGACCAGTCGCCTTGGATAGGTAAGTAAGCTTCATCCAAATTCCTTCCGGTCGACTGGCCGTAGTATAACGCTCCCCCATATATTTTAATGTAATTAGGAATTTCCACGTGGCCACATTGGGGCCCGACCTACGTCTGTTCGGGAAATCTTCAGCTCATGGGCCCCTGAAGATTGGATCCTTTAAGGGAGCAGCCGTAGGCCGTAACACTAGGTATGTTTCAACCTCAACAAGGGTCCTTATGTTGACGTATATAGGTAAGTATATACCCTTAGAGTTAGCAACCCTACTCCTTTTAACATGGCGGACCGCACATTTATCTGAAGGAGAATAACTTGGTCATCCATGTAGAAAAGTTGGGTCATTTTTGTCCCTTTTTTTCGCAGCTGAAATCCCTTTCCAGATTCCTCTAGCAAAGTGCTGAGAGAGGTCAGAGAGATCAGATGGGACTCTAACTATTACCCTGGAAGATACTTCTACCGCTTCTACGTATACTTATACGGTCTTCCACAACAGTCAACTACTTGACGACGAAAGATCGTACTCCATTGCCTCATGCATCGCTCAATAAAGTTTTTAACTGTAATCAATCTTGTACAGCTACAGATTAATAATATAGTTACCTGTGTATCAGACAAAGACTTTCCAGATATTATAGTTTTCTTCTGAATGTCATACTTGTTACCTGAATCATCTTTGGACTTGGCCTAATATTGTGTAAAATACATGAGGTAAGCAAATAAAGAAACTTCAAACTTCATTCAAAACAGTATCAAAATAAATATATTTTTAATTACACTAACATTTACCTTTTTTGTTCTTTTACTTTTTTTCTTTCTGATTGGCATTTTTGAGGATTATAAATGGGTTTGATTATATACGATTTGACTAGGATTTGCCATATTCATCTAAAAATATAATTTTATTATTATATGTTTTTGTCAGTGTAAGCTTCTCTTTACATACATATGTTTATGCAAATTACGAGTTTATATTCCATTTAATTTAATGGTAAAAATGGTTAACTTCTTAAATATCTAAGTGGAATACATCTAACGGCGCGAAACGTCTAATGAGCAATATATCTAATTGCGAAACATCCATAGAGGAAAACGAACATCTATCGAAAAGTCTCCTGTTCTAAGTAAAAGGTAACAAGCTCGACACACACGGTCAGTTAAACTGATCAGTTAAAACGGATGTAAGCCCGACACACACGGTCAGTTTTTGGATGTACTTCAGTTCAACTGATCAGTCTAACTGACCGTGTGTGTCGAGTCGTATAATGAGCGAATCGTCAGATTCTCAAAATGGCTGGACTCTTAGGTTACTTACGGGTAAATATGCGGGTCGAGTAAAGGGACATTATGATATAAACATTGGGCACTAAGTTATAGGTGGTGGGCGCACGAAATATATAAATTAGGCACAAATTAAATGCAGTGAGTACATTGTGCATGGGTGCACGGGACCCTCTGCACTTACTGGTGGGTGAAGCCTGTGGTTACACGGAGCGATTTTCAAAATTTGAATTAACGAACTTTATAACTCACAATTACCGAAACGACATTTTTTAACCTTCGATACTGAAAAAATGGTCTACGTATGTTCATTTGATCTTATTTTTTGTTAATTTGATAATCGAAGTTTTGTATAATTTTGAATTGTTATAAGGAAGATGCTGCTTCTCATCTTCTGTTTTAGTATCCCTCTATCAACTCTTACGACACCTACGGGATTATAGGTAATGGATGTTTCTTACACGGCCACTGCATGGTTATTGACTTTTGCAGGTATTATTATGAATTAAAAGGAGTAATCATAATTGCACCGTCCACTTCTACAGACGTCAACCTCACCTGAATGTAATGCTTATTAACGAACGATGAGCTGGTGATAACAAATTCTTAATTAATATGGGTACATCTTCCAAGGATGCATGCCAATTACTGTAGTTGCATGTTCATGTTGTAATGTGGAAAATGCAATCTAGCTGTAGATTTAGAGACTGCTAAGAAAAAATAATAATTAATTCATTTAACGTATATGTATATTGTATATAATATCCAAAAAAATGTGTTATATATAACACATTTTTTATGAAACGATAAAGTACTACAGCAATGATAGGTTAAAGGTCATACAATGACATGTTTAGATCTAAGTTAGGGACGAAGAGATTTAAATAACGAGCGATGATGGGTAGTGTCTTTTGTAACGATTTTGTTACGAATTAAAATAATACTTTTAAATTACCTGGATTATTGTCCATATACTATTATATAATGATCATTTTTATTGTTGTTTTAATTATTTAATAGAATAAAATTGAATGAAGAGAAATGAAACTTTTAAAATGACATGATATTTAATTTTTATTCTAATGAACGTTTGACGGAGAAATGTCATCATTTAAGCCATAGAGCACTAAAATAACTCAATAGGTACTGCCAAAAATGCAAATAAATAAAAAGGTGTGTTCAATACATGAACATAAAAGGCAATAATTGCCTAATTAGTAATCGGGCAATTATTGCCTAATAACTGCTTTGTTTAGTACATTTTACCACAATAATTTAGAATAATTCTAAAATGTACTAAATAAAGCAATAGATTCGGTTTAAGGAAAATAGGAGTTGCACTGTTTGTTTTTAAATTCTCGCCTGGCCCAACTTTGTATTCAATATATGGACATAAAAGGCAATTGTAAATTGGTATTGTAGTAAAATATGTATAATATAAGGTATCCTTATTATCGTTATATTATATTGTTGTTAATAGCTTATTATATTTTGCTATTAAGTATCTAGCTTTAGATTTTGAACGGGATGTGGTAATATTTTTAACAGTGGTAGAGCCACGCGGCAGCTTTTGCTGTCGCACGGATGGGCCGGCTCGAACCGGGGTGGTACCACGACCTCACAGAATACCAGCGTGAAGTAGAGGTTTACCTATGCGTTTCACTTGGTGAGTGCAGGTGGCTGGAGGCCCTTTTTACTGGAAATGAGACATTCCATCTTAGTCCTCACGGGTGACAACGCATCTGCATTTTGATTCGCAAACGAGGATAGATGTAGATGTCTATGGGCCGCAGCAACCACTTACCATCAGGTGGACTGTGTGCTCGTTTGTCACCCTTATCCTATAAAAAAAAAATATAATTAATATTATGCACACAACTCATAAAATCAACGTTAAAATATTATCCTTTATTCTGCGCCATAAAATTTGAATTTTCAACAAATTAATATGTAAACATTACAATCATAATTGGTTATAAAGTTCTTAAAATATTTTCATGTAGAGACAGATTATATATTAATTTAAACTTTAACATTAATAACAATTCTATTTTAAAGAAACATTTAGTTCACGATTTTTTTTAAATGATGCTTTAGGAGTTTCATCATTTAATGGCATAATCACAACTCTATACGGTGTATATATTGATGTACAGCTTTTAGAAAAAGAAATCGATTTTTGTTTAACTCTGTTTTCGTCTTGCAGCTTACAAATGTTCCTACCAATGGCGCTTAGGTTTTTTAAAGAATTTGAATCGTTTATACAACTTCGCGAACTTAAAGGTTGCAGAAAAGACTTATGATTAGCACGAACGAAACCCGATTTGATTTGTCTGATTGGAATTATATCGTTTTCAGCACGAGCTGTGACTTTGTTTTGAACGGAAATTGTGGAGCGTAAGATGCTGGTCGTCTCTTGCTCCCAATCTAAAGGATCAATATAGCAACGTTTGTTACCAACCGACATATCGATTTTTGGCTTGTCCATTCTCCGCACCGCCGACTCGGTACGATATTTTCCAATTTGTTTAACTATTTGATTCTCCTCCGGTCGGCAGCATGAATGTCGTGACACTCGCCGTTTAGATTCTAGATTTCTTTCGCGTCTTCCTCGAGTCCTAGAAGAGAGTGTGGACGTTTTACGTTTTTTGGAACCGGATTTCAAGGCGTGTTTTGATTTGATTACAGTTACTGCTTGGCGTACCATAAGAGAATCCTTGGGTCCTAACAAAATACCGTCTTTATTTGTTGGTAGAGTGTCGTAAGGGTTCAACCATGTTAGAAAGTCTGTGATAATTGGTCCGTTGTATTCAGGAGGTACTGGCTGAAGAGGATCTTCGATGGTGTCACCAGATATTGTACGAAGTGCTAATGTAGTCACACTTCTATGCTCATGTTTCCGCTCTTTTTGTTTCTTAAGCAGACGTTTTCCATTAATACATAACGATAACCCAAGATATGCTAGTGCTTTAGGAATGATTTGCTTGTAGGCTAATTCAAAAGTCCCGGTATCAGCGTCAAGGTTGTGACGCCGATCTAGTACAACTGTAAAATAAACAGAATCGTTATAATTAGCAAGATAACTAAAAAATTAATAAAGTGATTTTTACCTTTTATTACATCTTCAAGGCACTGGGGACACAAACGAGCTGTTACAGAAGTTGTTGGCGCTAAATCAGGGCTAGAGTTAATCTCTATGAGCCATGGTGTAAAGTCCTCGGTCAACATAAAATCAGCTCCATAAAGTTCGAAACTGTTTTGCCTTTTATCCATTGCTTCTTGACAGGCTAACATAGCTCCAATTAGACTCTGCTTTATCCCAGGATATATCTTCGTGTCCCATAATTCATACTTTCCTATCTGTCTTCAAAATTGAAGGATTTTTTAATATAAAAAATGTTTAAACGTTTATTATAATAAATAGTAATATGAATTTTTAATGTTGCATAAAACAATGAATTGCCGTTTATAACGTTTTCATTTAATGTCCTTTCATAGTCTTACTCCTTTTATAGTCAAGTTTTGATCATATTTACCTCAGGTAAGCCTTAAAACTATGACAGTCCCACATATTTTCGTCAGGTAAAGCTTTGTCCCTATCTCCAGTATTTTTGTATTTTGTTTGGACTGCGTTGTTAGTTAGATGTACGGACTCGTGATAGTTTGACAAACTAAATATCTGTGAGCTGAATCTTAAGTAGCTGTCCCTGTAGACATAATAATTATTAAAATATTAAAGTAATACTGTTGACTATATTTGAAGTAAATTAAAAATATTTTATGCTTACTTATACATCCAGATAGTCAGTGGTTGACAATTTGTGATTAGAAACCATTGCCGTATATCAAATTTCGTATTGTATATAACCAGTGGGTTTTCTGCAAAACAAATCACTTTTACGATTTTAAATGTTACTTATATTAAACACGATAGATATCATTGTTAAAAGTACATATTATCTAACTACCGATATATTTTTGTACAACGTATCTGTTTTTTTGGGCAGGAATATTAATGAGACCGATTATATCCTTGATATTATTCATGAGTTGAATGCCTTTTCCACGACACTTGTTACCAGGTTTAACGATCCAAATGTTTAAGAATCCGTCAATGTCTATCTGTGGCCAGAACTTCGCTACTGCAGCCAAAACTTTCGATGCCTTTTTTTCTAATTGCCTGAGAAAAAAACGGTTGGTTTTTTTGTAGATATTTCAAAATTGTAAAAGTGATGTAGGTGTGAAGTGTAATGGATTTTTGTTGGAACATTTTTTTTATTGTCAACCTTATCCGTACGTGGACCACTCTGTTAAATATAATAAGCGTAGTTCTGAGAAGTGACGAAAGAAAAGACAGTGTTTTTATTGTAGTGCCTTATTTTTAGTTTTTCATTAAGTCTAATATATATAATTATCCGATGAAAAAAAAAGCTAGTAATCGGGGAATAATAAATGTTTTCTTGCTCACCCGTAATGTTTTGAAAAATTGAGGTTCGCCCCTTTGCGGCGTCAACGACAATTTGATGGTAAGTGGACACTGTGGCTCATCTATCCTTGATTAAGAATCAAAAACTAGATGCGTCATCCCTCTGAAAACTAAGATGGCCCTGTCGCCAACATAAAAACTCCCCGGTTCTCGTCCGTTACCTTATAAAACACGGTAGATTATGTTATTATATTACGCTGGTATTCTGTGCGTGCGTGATCCTTCTCCGGTCGAGCTGACCAATTCTTTACAACGCAACGTGAATATTGTTTTACTTTTCTGGTATACCAGCTTTTACCCGCGTGAAATTTATTACGCTTGGATTTCATGGGTTTTAACTTTAGTAGCCTAAGTTACTTCTTATAATCAGCTAACTGTCAGTGAAAGTCTCGTTAAAATCGGTCTAGTCGTTTTGGAGATTAGCCGAAACAACAGGCAGACAGACAGACAAAAAGGCAAACAGATAAAAATTACCGTAACTACTTTCATATGCATTTTGACATTACAAACAGACTATAATAAGTAGTTGCTGTGGCCCATAGATATCTATCCTCGTTTGCGAATAAATTAAGATATTACAATATCGCATTAATAAGGTGTTGATAAAATCGTCATATTGTTAAAAATCTTAAAAAATTGAAAGAAAATTTACCTAATGTTTACATTGTTATCATCCACAAATTTTGCCTTTTCGTGCACTAAAAGATAATGATGCGTGAGAAATAGGTCCCATTCATGTTCCCAAATGTGTGGAACTTGATCCTCTACGTCGTCTATGTCTTTGTGATTGCAGAATGTCACATATTCGTTAATTCTGCTAATGGCAAATTCTATGGCACTAAATGGTACTTTCCCTTGGTTTGTTATAAATTCTGTTTCTTTATTAGTATGCACTGAGCTACAAAACCATTTTACAATACTAATGCAGGCTGTTATTCGAAAATCCTCAATGAATTCTTCTAAATTATCGGAGTTATGAATGTTGTAGCAGCGTGGAAAATTTGTTAACGCTATACCGGGCTCTGTGTACCAATGCATTTGAGTAAGTGACGTGGTCAAACCTTCTTTTGTTGTGAATATAGATCTGCTGAACCTGTTGAAACATAGCCGTGTGATTATATGCTTTTTTTTATAGGATAAGGGTGACAAACGAGCACACAGTCCACCTGATGGTAAGTGGTCGCTGTGGCCCATAGACATCTACATCTATCTTCGATTAAGAGTCAAAATGCAGATGCGTTGTCACCCGTGAGGACTAAGATGGAATGCCTCGTTTCCAGTAAAAAGGGTCTCCGGTTCTCTACACTCACCATACGAAACACAGCAGCGTTAAGCTGCTATTTTACGCTGGTATTCTGTGAGAGCGGGGTCCTTCCCCGGTCGAGCCGACCCATTCGTGCTACAACCATAATATAGATGCAGCATGGCTCTACCACGTATAAAAATGCTGTGCTTTAAATTATAAACTCATTAACCTACGTCTCGTTAACATGTTTTATGTTATAGCCAAACATTTTTGAAGTTCTCGTTATTTATTTTGTGCAATATATATTTTATAAATTTTAGAAAACAAATAACAATGAGTTTCTCTGTTTCGAAAGTGCTAAAGATTAACACGTTTGATACCTGCTTATTATGACCTCCTTATTGCTTAACAACCAATCGTATTTGTCTCTTTTGGAAGTCCAGAGGAAATCGACCGAATGGTGTTCCATGAACTTGTATAATATCATCCTTTCAACTTTGGTCAGTTCTTTATCGGTAACTTTTTTCGGATCAATGTTTGCTGGTGGGTGGCGAACCTTTGAACATTTATAAAAATAATTAACGTTACAGTTACAGAGTATTTAACAATGAAAATTAAAAAGTTTTCGAAAAAAATCTAACATTAAATGAGTAGATATTATTTTTTTAAGTATTATGTGATATTAACTTTAATGTTTCAATTATGATGTTATTTCGCAGTGCGAAAACTTGTTAACACTATAGTGTTAGCTCAGAACAAGTATTTTATTTAAAAACTAGCTGTTCCCCGCGACTTCACCCGCGTGTAATTAAGGGTTTTAATTTTGTTGCGCAAAACCCTAAATCTTTTTGTAAAATATAAGTAGCCTAAATTACTCCTTATAACATCAGCTATCTGCCAGTGAAAGTCCCGTCGAAATCGGTCCAGCCGTTTCGGAAATTAGCCGGAACAAACAGACAGACAGACAAACAGGCAGATAGACAAAAATGTTAAAAATTGCGTTTTTGTTATAAGTACTATATATACGTTCAAACTTCAAATGCATTTACTAAAAAGCTGTTATTTTGACATTACAAACAGACACTTCAATTTTATTTATTTGAATAGATTAATTTGATCCCGATTTTACTACATTCAAAAACATTGCAGTATCGAATGCCTGTAGCCCATAGAGAGTTGCATTTAACTTCAAACAAAAGAGTTCGAGATGCGTTGTCACTCCGAGGACTAAGATGAAATGCATCACAGCCTTCACAGTCCTTGTTGTGTTGTCAAGCCGGGAAACAGCATGCAAGTATGTGGACTTCTAAGCAGAAATGGAGTCCCAACTGCTAGTAAATGTTTTTTTTTTAAAGGTAAGCACCTTGTGTGATTCATATTTTTCGATCCAACCACGTTTCAGTAACGCTCGACGGACAGCCGGGAATCCGCCGCCCTTTATCATGAACACCTTACGTTCCTTCATGGCGGAGTCCGCTATCTTCTTTAGCTCATTCCATCGCTCGTTGCTGACCCAGCTCTTGTATTGTTTCAGTTGTTCAATAGACGACGTCGTTTCTGTTGTGAACATTTTGATTATATAACTATTCGATTTCTACCACGGCCACAACTTCCTAAATTAAGTTATTCTTTTGCAGCTTGTAACTATTCACCGCATAATGTGGCAGTATCCCTTTTAGCTATCCGTGCGATTTTATAATCACCACCAGACGATTGCAGTACCAGACGCCTCATTTTTATAAAGCTGGTGTCCGTCGCCGATCTGGTTATTTTGAATCGAGCATATACGAGATGTTTATTCCCGAATTTATCAGAGACCATGAACAGAAGAAACATTTTATGTAATTTATAAGTAGGTAGGTACCATAGCCGCTTTTAAAGCGCACTCGGGATGGGATGGGCTCCTCTTTTTGTAACTGCTATGAGCCAGTGCTTAACTACTATCCCACCGATGGTGAAGGGAGTGGACATAATTACCTAAATCATGCAATTCCTGCACACATTCTCCAAAATGTATTCTGTAGGACACCGAAAGATATTGGCGCTTAACTTTACACACTCATTTTTAATTTTTAAGTGCAATATTATCTCTCATCAACAATACTGTGCTTAAAAATCGATTAATGATATTTAGGAACGGGATGTGTCCACGATAAGCTCGAATTCGTAATACAAATAAAGTAACATATATCCACTTGTAACTTTTAAAAGTATGATTTTTTGTAAGATATATAGTAAATTTTGGAGAAAATAAAAAAGCATCGGGGAAATGTTCAATATAATTAGCGTTTGTGTTAAAATAAGTAAGTTAAGCGAATACCTATAACATACACTATTCATCATTACATGCCCCCGCTGCCGCAGTTTTTTAAATAAAAAAAGAATTGCTATCACGAAGATGCTGCTGCCCATCTCCTGTTTTATTTTCCATCTGTTGCCTCTTACGATGCGATGTTCACGGGATTATTATGACGCTATTATGAAACGCTATTATTTACTAATAATGAAAAGTGTCTAACCCTGGCATAAATACGTACCGGGTCCATGATCAGACCTTGAATATGACACGGCGCTTAATGGGCGCAACTCTTTCTTGCTGACACTTTCCTTGTGGAGTTTTGAGTCTGATGTACTCTCCTCTAATTCCATTGTTATAGCCATGAGTGGTTATTCTTTAAATTCCTGCAAAAGGTTTTGAATTCGAAAATCATTTTTGATTTCTTATATTTTGGAAACGTGCTCTCAGGTCACTGGTTGTAAGTGAACTGAGAGAATAAATATAAACCAGTGCATTAACCTATTTTACAGTTTAACCTACATACACGGACCTACATATTTAAAGTTTCTGACTACCAGCTACAAGCACGTAGTACCGCGCGCATCTCCGCCTGGCACTGTAGGAAAGAGTGACGTCATACGCTGAGTGCGTCCTTCGGAATATGCGCAATGATTACACGGAAATTAATAAAACAAAATGAGTTACCTGCAGTCAAGTCGGTAATCGGTAAACTAGTAGAAAGGCACAATGGCACCATAAAATGTAAATATTGATCGTATTTAGAAACTGTAATTTAAAGTAGTTTACAATGTATTAGGTAAAATAAACGTTAAAATTTGACAAAAAATTGACAATGGTGATAAAAAGTAAATAAACCACAGAAATAAACTAAAATAAAAAGTTGAATTGTCAATTTAAATGACAATATAAAATGTTGTTCTATTAAAGACTACAGAATTTGTACCTACGAAAAAGTTTATGATTCATATTCAAGATATAATAATAATAAAATGATAATAAAAAAAAAAATAAATAAAAAATAAAATAGCCATTCATTTCCAAAATCATAAAAATTCAATTAATTTTTATTTATATATAAATTGACCTTATTCAATTAGTACTGCCATTAATATCATTATCAATTATGATCATTATTAAAATATTTTAATATTATACATTATGACTTTTAAAAATTAACTAATTAATGAATAAGTCTTTGATGGTACATCTTATATAAATTAATCAGTACAATTACATTTATTTAGTTTATTATTATTAAATATTTAAATTAATTAAAACAAGACAGCATAACAAGACTATTAGCATAACAATATATTTAGTATATAAAGTCCCTGATTTCGGAATGTCTATTGACCTCCTCCAGACTTTTCCATTGTTTCCGGCCGAGTGCTAATCGTCGCCAATAACGTCCAGCCATATTTTTTAAGTCATCTTCCCACCTTCTACGCTGACCACCCCTGCTTCTTTTGGATACCAATTAGTGACCATTTGGCTCCATTTTTCTTGACGGTTCCTAAGCATGTGTCCAGTCCATCTCCACTTTTGTAAGTCTATTTTTTGTAGAATATCAGATACTTGGGTTTTGTTTCGAGTGTCTTCGTTCCTAACCCGGTCGGTTTTCTTTATACCAATCATGCTTCACTCCATTGCTCGTTAGCTTGTTTACAATTTATTTTTGTGTGAAGCTGTAAGTGCCCAAGATTCGCATCCGTATGTTAAGCAGGGAAGAATACACGTTTCAAACATTTTTCGTTTTTCTGCCATTCCCAATTTTTTGCTCTTCATTATTTCTTTTAGCGACCAATACTTTTTCCACACATTCGCTATTCTTTTATTTATTTCCTTAGATGTTAAGTCTTTCGGTGATATGATTTGGCCTAAGTAAGTGTATTCTTCTACATATTTTAGTACTTCACCGTCAACAGCTATTGGTATCTGATCTCTATTGGACATTATTTTGGTTTTTTTTGTGTTCATTTCCAAACCAGCTTTTTTTACTTTCATTTGATAGATCTTGTATCATTCTCTCAAGTGCCTTAGGATTCTCTTCGAATAAAACGATTTCGTCGGCGAATCTGAGGTGGTGAAGTCTTTTTCCATTTATGTTCAAGCCCATTTTATCCCAGTTTATGTGTCGAAATATATGTTTTAGAGCCGAGGAAAATAGCTTTGGTGAAATGGGATCACCTTGTCTGACCCCTTTTCTTATAGGAAACTCATCTCCTAGTGTATCGAGGTAAATTCTTGCTGAACATTTATCATAGACTTGTTTTAATATGTTTATGTACGTTTTGTGAATTCCTTGCCTTTCTAGACTCTCCCAGATGATTTCTTGGTATAAACTATCAAATGCTTTTTTATAATCTACAAAGGCTAAGTAGAGTGGTTTATTATACTCATTGTACCTTTCAAGAACCTGTTTTACTGTGTGGATATGATCAATGGTCGAAAAGATACGTCTAAAACCCGCCTGTTTTATTGGTTGGTTTTCGTCTAATTGAGAAGTGTAAATGTTCGACATTAAGCTGATTGGTCTGTAATTATCTTTTTCATCTTTTGCTCCGTTTTTGTGTAATAATATAATGTGTGATTTTGACCATTGCTTCGGTATTTGACCTCCATATAAGAATTCAGTAAACGTTCTTGCTAGTATTGGACATAATTCCTCAGATGTTCCTTGTAGAGTCTTATTTGTAATCTTGTCTGGTCCGGGTGCTTTATTCAGTTTTTGTGAGCTTAATGCTTTTTCTACCTCGCTACTTAATATAGATAGGGGCTTGTCATGTATTGTAATAATTGTTTGAAACTTTTTATGCAATGGTACTTCTCTACTGTAGAGTCGTCGGTAGAAATCAGTGGCACACTCTATGATGTCCTTACGTTTAGTATAGGCTTTATCTTGTTTTTTGATTTCGGGGATCCGTTCCTTGGTAACTTCCCGCAATTTTTTGAGTGCCTTTCTGACTCCACCTGATTTTATAATGTGCTTTTCAATAACTTTCAATCTATGTTTCTTCCGGTCATGTTTAATGGCTTTATAAATAGTTTCACTTAATACGGCAAGCTCTTTTTCTTTGAGGTTTCTGTCTTTCCAAGTTTTTGTCATTAAATTTTTTCTCTCCTTTATAAGTTCGATTGTTTTTGTACTCAATTTATGTTTATTCTCTTTTCAGGAAGTAGATGGACCACTCAGTTGATTTTCTATTAAGGTGTATCTTGTCTGTAGATCTGGTGTTTTCAGGTTCTCCCTTAGAGGGGTGCTATGTTTTGAATGAGTCGAATAATACATTTTTATTTTTTTAATTTTGTTACTTATCTGCTTGTTGCTATTCCGTAGATTCCACCGTTTCCTTTACTTTTCTTGTCGTATTTTCCTTCGGTTTTGCTGTCGCCATAAATCCCTTAATAGTCCTATTTCTTTTGGAAGTATGAGTAGTATTGTTGGTAAGTGAGGAGTTGGGTATGCCAGAGTTTTCTGGTGATACCTATAAATTTCGCTTGTTATTTTGCTGCGGTGCTTTTTTTGTTCTTAAGGATTATAATTTTATCGTACCTGATGACTGCATTGTTGCCTTATTCTATTGCTACTACAGAATTTGTACCTACGAAAAAGTTTATGATTCATATTCAAGATATACTTATTTATGAACAATACGTCGGCGGCTGTGTTACTTTATAATTGTGTACTATAATATACTAACACTTATTAATAAAAAAGGATTTGCTTTTAACTGACTTCAAACCTGTATGTCTATCCTGTGGTGTAACATACAGATACGCGATATCTTCATAGAGGCACAGAATAAATAATAGTACAAGAACAGAAGGATCACTCTCAGATAGAAAACTTGCGAGTTTAAACTTAGTTACTACGTCGCTAATGTTCATAATACTTTGCAGGCCTCGGAAGTGACCTTCGTGAAATTAGCCTACCGTTTATATCGTCGAAAAGAAAATTATTCGGCGTGCGTATTAAATCAAAATGCACCTTACATCCGCGTGCGAGTGTCTGTATTACTTAGCCCGTTATGCGCCTTTGTTATGACCGCTTCTCCTATAGGGTTAGGTGTTGTGAGAAAACAAATTGAAATTAGTTGGTATATATTAGAATACACCAAGGTGTTATGCAATGTATTATTATTTCTTTTATTTTGTTAAAAAAAAGTTACCCTCACACTAGAATTTACTCCAGTATCGTGGAGGCAGTTAACAAACTTAAATTCCACAAGGACAAACAACTACACCCGGAACCATTATTTGTAGGCCATACAAATACTTGTTCCGTGCAGGATTCGAACCAGCGGCCCCAGCGTTGCAACTCATTGCTAACCCACTGCGCCACGGAGCCATCAATTTGCTGATAAAAACTTTATTGTACAATGTGAGGAAGGTTAATATGCAACATCGAGGAAACTTAAGATTATAACAACATGAACGTCTTTGAAACTCAGATAATTTACCATTTTAACCGACTTCAAAAGAAGGCGGAGGTACTCAATTCGACTGTATTTTTAATGTGTGTTACCTGAGAACTTTTTTGTAGGTGAATCGATTTTTATAATTCTACTTTTATTTGAAAGTTGGTGCTTATAATTTATACATTCCATATAAATTTGATCAGGATCTGACCAGTAGTTTTGGAGTTATCCTTAATAATGCGTATTAATATTGTAGTCGGTTGTACAAAAATTTTAATTTCATTAGTTGTCTTTTTCCCTTTTCTTAAAAATGTTACCTCCACACTAGGATTTTCTCATGTAACGCAGAGACTACGCCGTTCACCTCTGTAACATAAATTTGCTTTGTCACTCTTTCCTCATTCATTCTTTCTACATGGCCAAACCACCGAAGCATTCCTTTCTTAATCCTGGTCACAACATCATCTTACAAACCACACTCTTCTCTTATTAAACAATTTCTCACTCTGTCATTCATATTCATCCCTAACATACTCCTTAATGACCGCATTTCTACAGCATTTATTCTACTCTCATGCTTCTTCTGCCACACCCAACTTTCACTACCATACATTAAAGAAGGTACTAACACAGCATTGTGAATTGCCATTTGTGCCTTTTTGGACACATTCTGACTTTTCTCAATAGAGTGTAGAGCCCCATTCACTCTATTTCCTGCATTCACTCGTCGTTCTATATCCTTATCATATCTACCATCCCTGCTAAACGAATAACGAATAATTCGAATTCTAATCCGATTTAAATATTCTTTTATATTTGACATTCCAATTTTAAAGAATATTGATTTGCACCAAGCTTTTATATGTATGTGAGTTCAACGTTTAAAGTTTTCAATCATGTGTCAAAATAAAATATAATTTAAATCAAAAGCACTAAGGAGTATT